TCGTGTGTGTGTGTTTGCAGCTCGGACCAGAAAGGTGATTGCTGAGTTTGGGCGTTTGTATGAGCAGCAGTACGCGGTAGCTCTGTTCAACAAAGTTCGCTTTGACGTAGAGGGAGGAGGAACCCTGCAACCTCAGCTGCTTCACCGCAAGGTACAAAATCCTCTCTGAAAGCTCTGCTTTTATTCCAAACACCAGCGAGTGATCGTTGCAGTAAGGATGTCTCACGTGGCTCATTGTTTTGAGTGTCACACCGATGCTGCTCACAGATTAGCGAGCTATGTCTGTTAATCATTTGGATTATGACCATAGTGAGTCCTCTTGGCTCTGAATGGACAGAGAGAGACTTTAATGACTCAAAGGTTTCTCTTCGGTTTCGGTGTCACAGATTCCTCTGGAGAACAAGGACATTTTTTCAGGCTCCCTCTTCCAGTACTTGGAGGAAAACAAGAAATGGAGGAACCACTTCCTTTCCATCCCAGACTCCCATGACGTCAAGTACTACGACAGCAAGGCGGTGAGACGGGTGCAGTGTTCTCTGTACATGAGCAAGTTTTACTCACTGTCTAATACATCGACTCTGTTCTTCCTTGGCTTCACCACAGTCCCATGACAGACTCCTCCATCCCAAAGGAACCATCAACTGTGCCGGGTATAAAGTCCTGACATCTATGGAGCAATACCTGAATCTGATCAGCAACAGCTTGCCAGGTGAGGAGCGGGTAGGTAAGGAGAGTGTACTTATTACAGTAGGAAGGGGAAAACTCGAATCAACAGGAAACTCAGTTCATCAAATGCAATGATTGATTGTGGCAACTTAAGACATGCAGTCAGTGGGGTCAGCTTAACTGGTCACTGTGAACGTGTGACTGTGAGAGCCCTGTCCAGGGTGTACCCTGCCTCCATGGTAGATGTAAGCTGCCCGATCCTGACCCCTGTTGTTCAGTAAAGACCACAGCGGGGTGAAGCTGGGGTGGATAGTGTGCATCCAACAACAGGTTCCAGGACTTCAGCCTTACTGGTTGAATGTTGTTGCTGAAGGCACTGAGCTCTCTCTGTGGTGAAGCAGACCAACATTTCTCTTAGCTGTTAGTTGAGAGCTGCCATTGTCTTAGCTGTAAAAGGCTGATGGGGTAAAGCACACGCAAATTTGTTAATGAGGAAACTGGAGAGTGAGGATGCAGGAGTTTAACACTGAGACTGCAGATGTGTCTTCTTGGAGGCTGGGGGGGGTCGCACTGGCAGCCACGGTGTTTCTGAATGTTGCTGTACTCAAGAAAAGGAAATGTTGACTGCAAATTCAGAAATGTTTGCACACCATCAGTGAGCACGGACAACATGAAGTCTTTTTGTTACCCTTTAACTCTACAGAGAAACTTCAGTGAGGTTTTCAGTGTATTATTAATGCAACGGTTTTATTTTTAGGTGTTAAAGCCAAGGTGGGAAGTTCCCCCTTTCTAAAGTGTGCCACTCCGTACCCTCTGATAATGTGGCACCCTTATGCCCGCCACTACTATTTCTGTGTGACGACAGAGAAAGAGCAGCAGAAGTGGTATATGGTACTCCAAGACTGTGTCAGACACTCCAACAATGGTGAGTCATGCTAATGTAATGATAGAATAACCCTTTATTGTCATTGTGCGTGTACAACGAAATGGTGGGTGCTCCACACCAGCTGTGCGTGGTGTAAAACTATAATAGTAGGACGGAGAGAATGAATAACAAACTAGAGGAATCTATGCAAAGCAGGAGGAAGGCACACGTTAGACAGGCTGCAAACGAAGAGCTGCTACTTTCAGTTTCATTCATGTTTGTCAGAGCTCTGGATTCTTCTCTGTGCTGTAAACAAAAACTAGATCTGCACGTTGCTTTTCTGTCTTCTGCGCTCCTGCTCTCTTTTCCTTCTCTGCTTTACTGACTGTTAAGTCTGTTGCTGTGATTGAGACTTGCCAATAAAGATGTCAGCTCCTGACCGGAGCTATAGCAGTAACTACATACGGGCCATAAAGTCCCAGATAGTCTGACTACAGTGAACGAAATGAAGTTGTTTTCATTAAATACCCTGTGACACAGTTTAGTCCTCGTACTGTCTCTCTCACACACACACACACACACACACACACACACACACACATACATTTTTGCTTTTGTCTGTAATTTTTTGACATTTTATTTATAAATAAATAACAGTGCCAAATCACTACAACAGTTGTGAAGGCAGTTTATATTGTAAGGTCAAGACTACAACAGCACGATCGGATCTGCACTCTGGGAAGGACAAACGTTTAACAGCAATCACAGCAGGGGGCGTCTGTCTCCTGAGTCTGAGGAAGCTGAAGGCTCTGCCTCTCTTTGCACTTTTAAGCACCATAGGTGCCACAAGTAAACCAGCAGCCCGACAGTACAGTGCTCTGCTGGGATAATACACTTCTATGATAAGGTTTTTGTTTTGTTTTGTCTTTTCAGAATAATCTGCTCTCTCTTTCTAGTCCCTGTCAGGACTCTGGCTGCAGCATTTTGGATCAGCTGAAGGCTTTTCAGGGAGTTTTTAGGACTTCCTGATAATAATGAATCACAGTCATGCAGCCTGGAAGTAATAAATGCATGAACTAGTTTTTCAGCGTCACTCTGAGACAGGATATTTCTAACTTTAGAGACAGATATGCAGACTGAAGGGCAAACATGACTCCACGAACCCTCAGTCTCACTGGAGGCCAAAGTAAGACCATGCAGAGTGAGAATCTGGATAGATGCTGCATTTCTACAATTTTGAAGGCCAAGTACAAGAACCTGTGTTTCATCTGAGTTTAGAGCAGGGGTGGCTCAGAGGCCACATTGACTTGGCCAGCATCAGATGCATGCATATCAAACATAAACATTAAGATCACACTTTTTTGTCAGTGAATCAGAATCTCCGGTTAGTTTTGTTGTGGCAAGAACAGATCTGAGGTGTTCATCACTCAGCTGGGATCTGTGGGTGCTGCTTTGTCTGTTCACACACATACGTGGAGCCAAACAACACCAGCATCCTCTGTGACATCATCTGGATGCTTGGTCCCCTCACTCTAAAGTGCATTTTACAACTGGCTTCACTGCGTGATTGAGGTGCAGCACAGACTTGCACAGGGCTTCCTGGTGGGTTATGCAGTGTAAAAAACCAACCTCTGCTCAAGGTTGTCCTCTTTCAACCTGCCCTGGATTCTTCTGAGCAACCCGACTTTTGTTCCAGTCAGATTTGGCGATCCATCTGTGGTGGCCTGACGAGTGTACTCCGAGGTAGCTTGTACCTCTTGATGACCTCTGCCACGTGTCATACAAGTCCTCTCCCCACGTTTTCCTCTTTATGGATTGCATGGCCAAAAACTCCTCTGTTATCTTAAAATTAAAAATGAATCCCTCTGATACAAATTAAAAGCTGACCTATACACAACTAACCTATAATTACATGGCAAAACGATTACCTTACCAAGGTACATACATTAGTTTTAATTATGTACTTGCAGATATATCCTAGATGTTGTTCAGACACAGTTATGAAATCTGATCATTTTTACTCACATTTCTCGTGTAAAACACTGAATATGAAGCCAACAAAATTCATTCATTGTAAAAAGTCATCTGGGCTCCTGCACCCGACCGACCCCCAGTTTAATAAGTCATCTGTTCATTCACCAGCTCGCAGTGTTTTCTTCAGCAGGATAAAATGATGACACTGTTTGTGTGTTATGTGTTTAAACTGCAGCTTGATTGGTTGGTGGAGGCGAACAACTAAAAACAGTTAACTGTAATTTATCCATCCATTAGTTTATATTTACATTCAAATGAAGCGTGGATGATTGTAGGAGTTGTGTGATTGATGATCAAAGTATAAAAAAAGTCTAATTTTGTTCTTGTTTGAAATCTCCTGGTACCATCTGAAGGAGAGAACTCGATTATTTGAAAGGGTCTCCTTAATCTCACGATGCTGCATTCTGTCATCAGCCCTGCTTTCCCTCCTGTTTTACCTTCATCATTTCTCTGATAGAAGACCTGCAGTTATCAGTTAAAAGTTCACTGACGGCTGCTTCTTCAATTCCAGGTTTGTCAGATGAGAAAAAAGTTCAGACACCAGCCTTCACTACTGCAGTGCGACTCTACCGTCAAGCTCAAGGCCAGTATGGCACCTGGGAAATGATGTGTGGTGCACCGTCACAGGTAGCGTTGGCAGAAATGTTCTTCTGTGGCCTCAATCGGACTTTGGGGGGGTTGGAAGCTGGGATGAATCAGGTGCTGTGTCATGAAATGTAAACTTGATGTCCTCCCTCAACCTGATTTTTCATTGAATTGCGACACGAGGTTGTTCAAAGTTTTCACCAAACACCTCTGATGGTCAGAAGATTAAATGCTTCATGCACATGTTGCATCGTAGTCGGGCCCTGCTGTGCATGCGTCAGTGCTGAACAGGTTTTTCTAGATGCTTCTTCAAACCCAAATCACATTTATGTCATTTAAATTAAGTTATTGTCTAATGCTGTGTTTTTAAATCATTCTGTTTGTCTGATTATGCTTTAAAAAGGCGCCCACAAATAAAATGTAATATTATTAATTATGTGATAACAGACTTGGTTTGATGGAAGCATAACCACCTTACGTTGTCTTCTGTGGAAGAAAACTTAATTGCACACGCTGTAGTTCATCTCACATGGCCTGTGTGAGTCCCTCTGTTATGTTCTGCTTCCTTACATGTGGCAACATGGAAAACGTACAGAGAGGGGTTACCATGACGATCACACGAGCGACTGTAAAAATGCAGAGCGCTCGTGGTCCTCTTATTTGTATGTGGGAATCGTTTTCCTTGTAGATCTTGTCTAACCTGGTGATGGAGGGCCTCCTCTCGGAGCTGAGAGACCTCATCTCCCCCCGCCTCAAAGGCAAACTCCATGAGAGACAAAGGAACTGGATACTGGTGAGAAACTACTCTGGGATTATTAGACTCAGTCTTTAGCAAAATAAGTGTTAACCTGCAAGTTTGGTGGATACTGCACCAGTGATTGGGGGACTTGTAAATGTTGACATCACCTGTTTGAAATGCTCCTTGTTCTTCTGGAACTTTTGGGTCTTTTTAGCACTTTTGTTTCAAACATGGTGCTATTTTGCCAGAATAACAGGAACTTTAATGACAAAGGTGTTGTGTGATTCACTCAGATGTACACTACCAGTCAAAAGTTTTAGAACACCCCAATTTGTCCAGTTTGTCATTGAAAGTTATGCAGTTGATTGTCTGATTGCACTCTGAAATAAAGAAAAGCGTAGTACAAATAAGCACGTGGAGTTAAAAAAAGAAATCATTGAATCAGTTTATAGACTAAAATGTATTCTAACCTTTGACTCACCAAAGTAGCACCTTTGGCAGATAGAGCAGCTGAACAAACCTGTGCCATTCATTCTACAATAGAAATCAAATATTCCCCATGAATGTGGACCTTGTCGCTGCTTTGCTTTCCCTCTTCTGTCCAGTTCAAACCAGCTGGATGGGCTTTAAGTCTGCAGACTGTGCTGCACACTCCATGTTTCCAAGCTCACCATCTTGTTCTTTTTCCTGAGGTAGTTCTGGCACAGCTTGGACTTACGTTTGGGTCGTTATCCTGCTGTAGGATGAACCCCTGACCAACTGCACACCAGAGGGTCCTGCATGGAGTGCTGTGGTAGCTGTTTTGGTTCAGGGAGCCTCTCACTCTGTACGAGTCACCGACCCTGGATCCAGCAAACAGCCCATCACACTTCCTGCTCCATGTTTGACAGTTGATGCCACACACTGTGGATCCGTCCTTTCACCTACTCGACAGCGCACAAAGATCCTGCGTGATGAGCCGAAGATTTCAAGCTTTGATTCATTAGTCCATCTTACCTTCGTCCAGTCTTCAGTAGTCCAGTGTTGATGTTTCATGGCCCAGACTGACCTGTTTGTCTTATTCTGACATCTTCTCAAAGGCTTTCTTGCTGCAGCTGACGAGCGTATGGCACCACGGTGTGTTCAGCACTGCTTCTATGCAGACAGAGGGGGGAGTAATCCAGAAAGTTGGAACAGCTGCAGGAATTAGTAGCAGCAGCTTTCAAGGCTTGATCGACCTGCATTGCTGCAGAACAGCTTTAACCTGTTAACCCTTGTTGTCCCTGAAAAAGGCTTTTTGTATGATTCTGAAATGTACATTATTTTTCAGTTTTGAGTAACTGCACCTTTGTTTATCCTCTGGCAGTTCACCCTCACCTTTGTACCATTTCAAGCTGTTCATTGGACTGAATGACTTGAATTGCAGTAAATAACTGGAAAGATTAGGGTGTTCTAACTTGTGACTGGTAGTGTATAAGCTTGGAGCTTATTTGAGTAATGTGAGTGCAACAGAAAAAAAGCTGATCTACATTTCTTCAAAGGTCTGTAGTTCCACAGGACCTCTCCAGCAGGTGCAGCCCAACTGCTTCCAAATTCACCTGTAAACTCAATAGTCTGTTACGCAGATATACAAATATATTCACTGCATGCATTTTCCAAACCATTTAGGCTACTATGTGACACTTAAACAGACGATGTACTGCACAGGTGTGAGTTTGGCAACATCAGCTGTGTGTTTTGTGTTTGTAGATCAGTGATGCTGTGTACAGCCTGGTGCAGGCGCAGTGCCAGACGCAGTATGAAGCAGTGTTGCAGAAGTGTGAGGCTAACCGCTCTTCTTTAGAGGCCTCCATACGAACAGACGTGGACCAGATCATCACATCCAAGGAACACGTGACCAACAAGATCAGAGGTTGGATAAGAGCAACACTTCTCCTCATTCAGATACTAGCAGCACATTTCTCAGAGCATTTTTCATCCTTGGTTAGTTACAAGCCCGTCATCGATAGAATACTCATGGAAGTAGAAGTCGTAACAATAACTGTAAATGTTAAAGCAGTGTTGTTCTAAATATCTACAGGGCTTAAAATTCTTACTGTGGGTTCAGTTTTAGCTGTAAATGTGGATTCATATCTTAATAGGAACGTTTATTGCTTGTTTCTAAAACTGCACCATGGCAAGAGTATCAGTGAGAATGCTTGTGTATAAACCTATGAAACCTATAGTTTACCTGCTTTGGAACAAAGGAACAAAGGAATGATGATGCATCCATCCATGACATCAAGCTGAAGACATGCATCCATGCAGTTAGATTATTGGCTCTAAATGTAGCTGTGAGAGAGAGAGTAGCCAGAGAGACGTCCAGCAAGCACAAGGAAACCAGACAAACTAACAAAAAGGCCAAATCAGCAACTAACTTACTGTTACATATTTGTAAAAATGCATAACGTGTGTGTGGAGATGGATGGAGATATGTAGATGTTACATTGTCTTGGTTTAAAAAAAAAAAAAAAGATAATAAAAATATAGCAATATCTTACAGTTTGATATTTTAACATCACTGTCGACCTGTGGAAAGCAGGGAGACAGTTTCAGAAGGTTTCAGCTGCAGATAGGAGACATTAAACCAAACAAAGTTACTGAAGGGTAACTTTTTAAATTGTATGATATCTAATCTACGTGTGCTTCTACTTGTTTCCAGCCAATTAACTCAGTTTAATTCAGCTTTATTTTTAATATCTCCAAATCACAACATTCACCTCAACAATCAGACAAAACCTATGAGCAGCACTTTGGCGACAGTGGGAAGGAAAAACTCCCTTTTAACAGGAAGAAACCTCCAGCAGAACCAGGCTCAGGGAGGGGCGGGGCCATCTGCTGTGATTGGTTGGGGTGAGAGAAGGAAGACAGGATAAAGACATGCTGTGGAAGAGAGACAGAGGTTAATAACAGATATGATTCAATGCAGCAGCCTACATCTATTGCAGCATAACTAAGGGAGGATTCAGGGTCACCTGGTCCAGCCCTAACTATATGCTTTAGCAAAAAGGAAAGTTTGAAGCCTAATCTTGAAAGTAGAGATAGTGTCTGTCTCCTGAATCCAAACTGGAAGCTGGTTCCACAGAAGAGGGGCCTGAAAACTGAAGGCTCTGCCTCCCATTCTACTTTTAAATACTCTAGGAACAACAAGTAGGCCTGCAGAGCGAGAGCGAAGTGCTCTAATAGGGTGATATGGTACTACAAGGTCATTAAGATAAGATGGGGCCTGATTATTTAAGACCTTGTATGTGAGGAGCAGGATTTTGAATTCAATTCTGGATTTAACAGGAAGCCAAAACAGGAGAAATCTGCTCTCTTTCTAGTCCCTGTCAGGACTCTTGCTGCAGCATTTTGGATCAACTCTTTTTAATTTATTTATTTTATTTCACCTTTATTTATGTTGGTAAACCTCATTGAGACACAGTCTCATTTTGAGCAGCAACCTGTTTTAAATATCCTCACAAAACTACAGCTTGATAAACACACTGTAGTCATTATAATTCATATAACAACTAATTAACTGGAAAAAAAATAAAATAAAAGACAGTAACAATAAAACATGAACAGGAGCAGCCCTCATGCTTCCTCTGTTGTCCTTAGGATTTGTTTAAAACCCTTCAGTTCAGCATTGTAAGAAAATGCCTTCTCCCCACGTCCTGTACGTACTGAAGTGACTGATAGAAGCTTGTGAGTGGAGGTGTTAGTTACTCTGTTTAGGTGACACACAGGAAGGTAGATGCACTGCTAGCAGACAAATTACTGATGTATAACTGAACAACTGGAGGCTTTATTTACAGGTTGTCACATTTCTAATCTGACATAACGATCCCAGACGTCTGCCTGAAACTGCAAACCTGCTTTTCTCTCTTGTTTTGCAGCCGTGGTTCTTCCTAAAGCAGAGAAGCTGCTGAAGGTGAGCATTCAGCCCTACATCAGCTCCATCCTAGAGGCCCTGCTGGAGCCCACCAGCCGAGGGTTCTTCGAGGTCCGCGAGGTTTTCTTCCGAGAGCTGGTGGACATGAGCAAAAACGTCCTGAATGAGGGCACTAAGGAGATGGTGGCACAGGTGAGCACGTAGAGGAGGTCCTCCAGGAGAGGGGAATTCAGTAAAGGAGATCCTCCCTCTGCCTCCATTGAACTCAGAAACATTTAGTGACATTCAGTGCTTGTAATCTATTCCTCTTCCTCAGCACATGGAGAAGATCTCAATGCTTGCCTTCCATCCAGTGAAGATGTGCAGCTGCTATGAAAAGGTGATGCAGCTGAGTCTGGAAGGTCTGGATCAGAGATTTGACATCTCGAGCCCCTCGGTGTTCATCCAGAGGGTCCAGATCCTCATGAGAGAGGTGATGATCGCTTACTGGCAGCTGGCTTTTCAAAGCAGTGCAGCTTTAACATATTGCTGGAGGTCTAAGCGATGTATTGATTACAATCGTAATTTACTGTACGAATGGTTTTCTGATCAAATGTATTTTTAAAGATCTGCATTTTATTTGTTGAAAATTTCATTTTATTACATTTTCTAATGAAACAACACGTTACAAACGATATAAACGGAGGAGGTTACAATCAGCACTTACTGGTAAATAAAGATCACACACTTTGAAAAACAAACTCCCCGCTGTATTAGGAACTTGACCGTTCTCAGATCCCTGAATGTGTAACAAATACAGGCAACGTAAATCAAAATGAATATAGTGAAACAAATGATTCACCTTCACTAACCCAGAACAGAATGCAGTTGGAAGGAAAACAATGACTCGAGAAAGAAGTAACACACAAACTCATATCAGCTGACTTCCATGAAAAGGCGAATGCATTAGAATCACTGATGTGTGCTCTGAGAAGCTTAGACAGGACACTAGCAGACACTAAAACATAAAACACCACAAAGAAATGCTCCCGTCTGGATTTAAACATCTCTTATGCAAATATCCTCCATTCCTGTGTATTAAATCACATACAAAGTACATTATGGTGTCGCCTTCATCTCTTAGAATTGAGATGTTCACTGATTGCTGTAAATTTGTCAGGATGAGATCAGAAAGTTTTATTTCTAAAGAGAATAGTTGAGTTATTATTGAATATGAAATACTTTGTGGTTTGTTAGTCTCACTGTCCGTGTTTGAACTCAAAACATTTCCTGCCTCCTTTTCTGAGGTCAACGTTACACTGCTTATGTCTGCTTTAATTTTGTGTGAGCATCTCTCTACTCTCAGTGTTGTAAGAATAAATTAAACTTGAATAGTTGCTGCTCAGTTTGCAGAGGAATTGAGTACCATGAACACAACAGGACTGCAGGAAGGCAGCACTTCTGAATGAAAGTGTATTTGCTTAGGAGAAGGGGAAGTATGACTAGGTGGAGGCACATCACGGAGCATCAAGTCTTGGATCAGTTAATAGATCTTCTTTCATATCATATTTATGTGATAATTATCAAAGTCAAGCTATTATAAAATATACTGATACATTTGAATGCACTCGTGACAGTGTCCCCATCTGTGTCTGTTTACAGCAAATGGACAATGCTGTTTATACATTTGAGCAGATCCTTCACCAGAGTCTGGAGTCTCAGGGCGGTGAGGATCTCTGTAAGACTATCCAGCGCTGCCAGGACAGAGTTATCAAGGTCAGTAAAAAC